CAATTTCATCAGGGATTTTTCTGTCAGTGAGTATCATGCTTCTGGCCTATGTTTGCCCTGAACAGGTGAATTGCATACACAATTACTCTGAAATGTTCCAGATGCACTGGATTTACTACTCACACAGATATTTCAGAAGCACTTTTCACCATTGCTGTACGCACAGCAATAAGGAAGAAACCACTATCCTGCGAGTGACAGTACCTCTTGGGGTGGAGCAATTAGGACATAAATAAAGGAAAACATGCTGAGTTCCTCACCCTTTCCCTCCCCAAGTGTCAGTTACAGATGGTGATGGATGGAAATAGTAATAGGAGAGTGCAAGGCAGGGACATGAGCTGATTTGTCCAGGTGCTGGAAACACGTCTAGATTCTCTGGACATCCAACAACCCTTGTCAGAGCTGCTACTCCTGCTGAGCTGCTACACAGATGTGAAATCCCAAATTTCTACTCCAGTAAAATTTATAGATGGAAAAAAGGGGTATGTCTGCAGAGAACCAGATGAATGGTAAACTTGCTTATACTTCTGCCACTAGTACTTCATAAAGCATTTTGACTTCCCTACAAACTCTGACTCTTTAGTTTTACATTTTACACAGTCTTCCCCTTGGGCTGTGACCCCTGACTTCAAGAATCCTTATAAAAACCCTCTTCAACCCTGAAATCTCCTCAAAAGTCAACTCGAAGCCATTTGTATGCTTTTTCATGCTTGAAGTTCTTGCACTACAAGGTAGGAGGGGACCAGTCAGACCAGATGACAGATAAATGGACAAGACACATTCTCCTCCCCCAGCAAGACAAGTTTCCTGCTTACTCTATGAAGCTGCTCATACTTAATTTGCTGAATCAAGCAGCTCCAGACCTTGGTCTTGCACCCAAGACTGGCATCTAGTGGAAAATACTCATGCCCTCTCCATGTCTGGCAGAGCAGCTGAACCACTAATCCAGCAGGTAAAAGTACAGTGTGTGTTCAGCACTTGTACACAGAGTGGCAGCTGGTGGGACTGAAGGCTTGGTGAAAAAAACATTTTATCCCCTTCATCCCACAAATAGCTCAGCCCCGACTACACACAGGTGCTGCTAAATTAAGAAACCTGCTGAAAAAAAGAGATAAGCAATATTCATTTATTATTTTCAGTGAAAAAATGGTGAACATACTTAAAGCAAGATACGTTTAATTTTATACTGTCACTGTAAGAAAATTTACTGCAAAATCTAATTTGAAATATTTTTTTGGACAGCACAGCAATGTTCTATTTTTGTTTTGAATAAAAGGACTAGTAGCTGGTTATTTTATTAGGATATCTTTAATGCTTTGTTACAAACTAATCTGATTTATTCCACATAAGGGAAAATATATTTTCTTCTGGAAATTTGTAGTGAATTTCAGGGTAAAGTCACTTCCAACAAAACTGATTTAGCAATACCCACAGGTGATGGCATGAACTCTATTAAAGGAAATTGACTTTCAAACTCTTGGCAAGATTTTCATTTGGGATACTCTGAAAGCTTCAGAGCACTCAGTATACTGAGCTGACAGCTAAAGGAAACAGTAAATAACAGTCGAATCTCAAAAATTAAGGATTCTCAGATCTTCAAGTCAAAACATGAAGTTCAGTGTCTGGGGATTAATCACATGGTCACTCAGTAAGTGCAGTGTTTGTCACATGTAACTAAGCCACTGAAATCACTGATCATCAAATTAATGCAAAAACACAATGAAATAAACTTTTTTTTAATCTTGTATTTGAACAGTAAATGGAGTAAACACCACAGAAAGTTAACTTAAGGATTTTCAACCGAGAAAACCCCAAGTTTTGATAACAAAGTTTGAGGGAGATTGGAGGGGTGTGTTTTTCTGTTTTGGTTTTTACTTTAGAGGCTGCAGCTTGAAGATTAAATGTACATCATTTAAAACTTGAACTAACATAAAGGGTGACAATAATTTTGGTATCTTTTCCCTCACATGCCATTAGACTTTCTTTTATGACTATTTGTTCTCCAGGTCAAACTTTATATCTTCCAAAGGGAAAATAATTTTGACCATTTCTAAAATGATGATCTGTCCCACAGAGCAAAACCCACTTTCCATGAGGGCAGGCATTTATTTCACATACATATATATAAACCAATTTTAATATTATATAAATACTCATTTATCTATCTATACAGCTACCTAATTTTGTTACAAGCAGGTTTATGGGTTTTGGAAGGAACCACCACATAGGAAAGGACATCTGTATGAAAGCATTGTGGATGCCTTGTGGTCATGAAAGTATGCTCCACAAATATGGTATTTCTGAAACATCTGAAAAAGCCTCCACCACATCACAGAGCAGAAACTTCTCCTACCCTCAAGCTCTTCATATTACAAAATGAATAAGCTTTTCTAGGCAAGCCTTGTGAAGTTCTCAGTAGGTTGTGCTCCTACTTGTGGACTCTCAGAAAACAAAAACAATGTCTGGAAAAAGTCTTGGCATATATTTCTAACTACCAGATTTTAAGTTCAGGCCAACTGAAACATTTCTATGGATGATAAATACATTTTTTTAAAAACATTAACATGCCTATGCAATACAGATTTTTTAACTATCACTTATTAAAAAAATAAAGAGTGCATTGATTGGTTTCTGTGCTCAGAGAGAGAAAGAGCACAAAGCAATAAGATAATTAGACAAAAATGATGGATTTGAACACATGCTGCATTTTACTGTTAACATGTATGCATAACTTCCATTAATGTCAGTATGAGTTATGTGTGCACTGCTAAAATAATATGACCATAACAAAAATATTTCCTCCAGAACTAATATAGCAATATTTTTAATAGACATTTGAAAAAAAAACAACCCCACATTCAGAAAGTAACATGCAAATGCAACTCCCTCTTCAACCTTAATACCATTGAATTCTTTAAAATAAATTTCAGTTGTTCACAAATTGGTATCAAGTTAGGAATAAGCTGATTATATCAAATTACCTTTCATTGAATGGGTACTGATCTAGTTTTCAGCTCAAAAAGACCAACCAGATAATGAACAAGATTAAGCTGCTGTCCATTTTTATTCTAAACTTCCTTAAATAACTGAATGCATACGGGATCATGTAATGACAATTAAAGAAGTTATCTAAAACTGACAACACTGGTTGTGCCAGTAAATTAAGATGGATCTTGACAATGTCAGCCAGATGGGCCTAGAATGCAGAGTTATGGTTGGAACTCGAACATAATATAAGCATAGGAAATCATCATGAATGTTCTTAAACACACAGTTCATGCCTGTTTAGCTGGAAACCAAAAAATGTAATCACTCAATCTTGAATTTTTAAAAAAATGGTAAATGGAAATTGTGGTCAATGCCTCCAATTAATAATATGTCCTAAAATATCAGACATGAGACACACACTTTAGTATATTACTACAACACAGAATTATCATTAATCTGCCATCAGATGTCTGGGTCTTACCTAGCTTCTATAATCTGTTTTTGAGAATACCTTACTCAATTTTTTAAAAACAATACTGAGAATATGACAGTGTGAATTTCTGTCATTCTATCTGTTCCCTCCATTTAGTAATATTGTAATTTTACAGTTTTTTGTTCATTAACTCTATTTCCTATCTCCTAGAGCAGCAAAACCATCCTGACGTCTCATAGCCATATTTAGTTTTTTCACCACAAGCAATAGAAGTTCTCTCTGATTCCATCTCCAATATGAACTCAGCTTTGTAACACATTTCACAGAAGCTAAAGTTAGGGTAGAATTAAAAATAATGACAGAATATATGTTTTTTCAATGCAAGTGAGCTCTAATTGCAAGTTGGTAGTTGAGTCATAGATTTCAGGGGGAGTGATTTGTGTATGGGTAGGAGCAACACAGGACTAGGTAGCTGGCAAAGGTACCTAGCAGAGGATTAAGTAATCCTCTCTGGCCTAACTAGGAAGAAATACATATTTAATTTTACCTTATTATTACACGCTTTAAGAGTTTTCTTATTAACTTAGAATTTAAAATGAATTCTAGGGCACTTCGCGATTAAAAATGAAACCTGCATATGAACAGTTTCTTCTTTTGAAGACAGGAGAAAAGTTACTGGCAGAAAATGTCTGACTATTTGCACAATTAACAATGTAGTAATGACTAAATCAATATCAAAAAATGAAAAACAAGCAAGACTTTTACAAAAGAAACTATACTAGTGACGACTCAGAGAAAAGAAAAGCAGGAGACATTTAACTAGAAATTTTTACTAATTTAATTTTTTAGATGTCAATTTAATTTTTCAAAAATTTATTGGTTTTGGTTTAAAATTTATACTGTAAAAACACACTATATGTTTATATCTCATTTGAAATTCATTCCACACTAGTCCTAATGTGGACCTTTGATTCTGGGTCTTTCAGCACTAAGACTACTCACTCAGCCCTTCATTCATGAAATAGGACAGCTTTTTTTTAAAAAAGTCATACTTCACCAGTTTTGCCAAACTCACTTCCCAGACTGGAAATACATTCCTTACACTGTTGTTTGAGGTTCTGTGCGCCCAGTCAAAAAAAGTCACATCAACAGACTTATAGATACTGGGCTATTTTCTTCTGTTTCTCAACAACTGACAATTACGATTTTTTTAAAAAAATAACATCTTATGATTAGGACAAAACTCGTGGAAGCAAACCAAAGCACTACACAGAAAATAGATAACTGCATGAGATATACTGGCACTGAGCATTTGAGCTATAATAGGTGAATTAATATGTACATAGAATAGAAAACCAGAAAACTAAAAAAAAATGCATCTATTATAGAATATAATATCACACACAACTCTCATTCATATGTGATTCCATTTTTTTGTATAGATATAGACCTCATTAAAGTCAAACCCAGAAATTCTTTAGATGTCACTGGAAATATTTCTGCTTCCACTAGGGTTTCTCTTATGGCGAAAGTAGTAATTTTATTTTTTTCTAGAAATTAGAGAAATCAGTGTACTTACTTCATTTCTAGGATTTCTTCAAGCTGTTTTCTTCTCTCTATTCTCAGGTTGGCCAGATGTGCTTCCTTTTCAGCCAAAGACTGCTGTGTTGAGGCAAGACGAGCTTTGGTAGAATCTAATTCTTGTCTAGTCTTATCCAGTGCATTCATCAGCTCTTCTACCTACAAGAGAGAACTTTTTAAGCTCCATATTCTTTGCAACAAGTAAATCTTAAATCTATATAAATACAGGGGAAAAGAAAAAATACCAAAGGAATTACTTTAGGAAAACGGCTATTCAAATCTCTTCCTATCTTAACTGTTTTAGAAAGGAGCAACAGCAGCCATTAAATACAAAAAAAATTCTAAAGTTTCCATGAATCCATTGAGTAATAAACAATATTTACAAAAACAGAACTAATATAGATCACCAGAAACCTATTTAACCTGAGCCACTGCCACATACAGACACAATTTATAAGTATTTCCTGCACCATTCATATTATTTAAATTCAGGGTGTTGGTAACTGATAACAGTAATTTCAGAAATTTTATGTGCAGATATAGATATATGACAATCCATGTTATTTTTCACCAAAAAATGCACATCCTTCTGTGCAGAGCAGGTTGCTCATGGAGTCTCTAAACTTTCCAGCCCTTGGTTACTTTTGGATCTTGACTGAGAATCTCATCCAGCTTTGAAGTTATTCCTGCTTTGAGTAAGGGTTTAGACTGCATTGCCTCTACTGGTCCCTTCTAACCAAATTATTCATGATTCTAAATTTTACAGGTCTGTTACTGCTCTCATAACAGCCAAGCTATTTTTCTCAAGACAATTGTGAGAATCTCTGAAGTATGAAATGTAGAAAAGTTAGGGTGCTCTGACTCTCCCTAAGTATTGACAAATGTCAACTGGATGTAGGATAAATTGCATATTGCAGGAATACAAAACATATGTTTTCAGAAAACTAAATTCACAAGCAAAAAAAGTGTATGACATGGTCTGTCACATTACTCAAAGAACACACTAAAGAGTGGAGACTGCACAATGAGACTTGTCTGGCAGCAGAAACTTTACTTGTGGGGTGAATCATTATATTCACAGAAGCAGAGAGCTGTCAATAGCCTGTGGTAATCAGGATGCCACTGATTTCCCCCTCTTCAAATGATACAGTTTACATTAAGAGCTGCAAGTAAGGAACAGATTTTTTTTTTTTTAAATGAGATACAATGATTTAAATAATGAATGTCCTATTTCCCACTTTTTTTCTCACTTTCTTTGTCCAAATATTAACATTTTGTAAACTAAAAAAAACACTTGAAGAACTTCTAAATAAAATAAAATAGGAAAGAGGATATGCTCTATTCACCCATGCCATGCAAGCCAGTAAATAGGGTTCAATTTTGCTGTGTATTGAAAAGTCTGATGAAATTCCACTGTGCTCATATAATCAGTCTGACTACTTCTCCCAAGTTAATTCTAAATTGTTGGTTGTTGTTATCTAAAACCTACTACCATGCAATCAGTGTGTTTGTAAGCCACATATTTTTGTTTCAATTTGAATACACATTGCCTCCTATATAACAGGTTCAATAAAGTCAAATACATTATAGAGTCATCACTGAATTATAATGAGCAATCACAGCCTATTTGCAAATGATACACTGATTACTTACCCCTTCTACACCATCTTTAAAAAGACTCTGATTAGACCACTGGAACACCAGAACACCTCTGACACCCTGCAGTGCATTAAGAACTTGTATTTTGTGAATGCAGAATCAGAATTGCCAATAGTATTGAAACTGCTGATGTTTAGCCTTCCACTCAGAAAGTAAAACCAGTGTAATAGTGATATAAATGAAATAGGCAGGAGTGTAAATTGTGTAGCAGAGTCCCTGCAGGTGCAAGATTTCACTGAAGCAAACCATGAAGAAAGATGGAGACTTTAGATAACTTTCTAAAATTACTATCTAGTGAACTTCCACAGTAGAAGCAGCAAGAAGAAAATATACTTGAGGGAAATAAAGAAATAGAAAAGCTTTATTTGCATTAAAACCTAAGAAAAAAAATTAATGAACCAGAAGATGAGAGATCATATGTCTTTAAAAACAGACTCATTTTATAATATAACACCAGGAACTGCATTCTCTGCTTTAGTCCGAGAACATAAACCCATTCTGTCTCCAACAAGCACAAGCCTCAACTACTATAACAGAATACAATATTTCTACCTGTTTTCTAGGGTTATTTCTTAGGCTTGTCCTTGTGCCTTTTAAAAACTGCATCAAGTTTCTGCTGAGCCTCCAGTCTATTAGTTATTTCCAGGCAGCATACATTAATGGAAACTGTAGTAAGGATTCAAGACTGCAAAGTCATTCATTCATACAGACTCCAGCTTTGAGACAGCATCTTTAAACACCAAGTCACTCACACTCACAGACTTGTTTGGCAGATGAGAATGTGAAAAGGCAGAATAGGAGCACTTCTGTATCTTTAGTATCACTGCACTCCTTTTCCTACAGGTTCAGCTGAATTTAGTACCCAGACTGCTGATTGACTGAATCCTCACCTAAGTTCTGACATATCACATCATTTACATTTCAAAACATTTAAGAGAATTAAAGACTTGTGGAAAACAAAGCTGTGGATTTGTTAATGTCTATTAATAACATACTCTTATATTACCAGACAAAAGAGATCAAAGTTTAAAGGAGAGGGGAAAAAACCTTTAAAAATTTAAATGCTAAAACTTTTTCAAACCACAAATCGTTAACACGTGTAGACTTGAAAGTTATACTTTCATTTACACTTTCAACACAATATTTGCCAGCTAGTTCTTCCTTCATTTTTGAATATGACCCAAGTTCATAGTTGCACGTTTTCCTACTTAACTGTCCCACCAACACCTACAGCAGAATTCAACTGGCAGCACGTGCACAAGAAATGGATTTCTTTTCTTACAAAAAATCAGCTATCAAATGTAAATATGTTAATGCTGAAGTTGCACACACAATCATCTTAGCACACTAATTACACAGCTGCACCAGATGTGTTACAATGGAAAAGTAACTTTAAACATGGAAGGCAGTATTATCTAATATAAAAGTCTAGGGGAGAAAAATCATTGTAAAACATGAACCAAATTCTTAATGTAAGCAAATGTTCTCTTCTTTGGGAATTAAAATGATAGCAGGAAAAAAAATAAGGCTTCATGTTGATTTACAACCTCTTAGTCCTACTGTAAGAAATGCAAATAAATCCAGGACTACCAGTGAAAAAGTTTAGCTTTCTGACCTATGGCACATCCCTCATTTGCTGCATTTAGGGGCACTTCATCTCGAGAATAACATGCATCCAGGAGATCCTTCCTATACTCAGCACTGGTGTATGGTCCTGCCTTCCAGTTTCTTTTTAGTTTTTCCACTCCCTAAATATTGAACTGAGTACCCTACTGACACACCACTTCAGTAATGATCACTTAACCTGTTTGCACACTTTTCCTACCATTGTACACAGGATCAAGACGAAGTTTGTATTTGCCATCCCATCTATTACCTGTGACATCTCATCCTGCTCATCCTCCCAAACTGAAGCCTACAGAACCTAATTCTACTTTAATTACCACATCTGCATCCTTAAGGCATTTGTTCACAAAGAAGCCCAGAGAAGCCCCTGGGAGTGGCAGCTCTTTGGCAGTGCCACACTCTGACCCACGGGCAGCATCTCCGTGCCCTGTGCCCCATGGCCCGGGGCAGGTCGCCAGCGCCGCCTGGTGGCAGGGGGAGGCCCAGCGGCTCCTGCCAGGAAGCTGCTCAATTTTCCCTCCTGTATCTCTTAGTCTAAGAGCTTCTAATCACAAACCTTGCTAGTTTTGAATTATTAAGAACACTCATTTTGAAAGTTTACTGTGAGAACCTCAAGGGAATGCAAACTCCTTGCTCAGGAGTACTCTATGCTCTAAATACTTTATTATTAACTGGGTTTTCTTCCCCTTTGCAAGACAACGCCCTCATTTTATCCTCTGCATTTTCTAATAAAAGCCATTATCTTTTTCATACTTTCAGAAAGCCTAACTGACCTCGGCACTTTGAGGATTTTATTAAAATCTGCACTAGAATCAAGTTTACATTTCAGAATGGCAGACACCCAGCAAACCAAACTTTTGTAACTTTTTCTTAGTTTTGAGTCTATTTTAAATGAACACTTTCTACTTGTTCTGCAGCTCCACATTTTCAAGTGCTATCAGCAGCGTTTCACACCAAGATAAGAAAAGAAAAAGAAATTAATGTGGCTGAAGTATACATCTGCGTTACCAGATTCTGCACATTAAAGGAGGTTAGAGTTCAAATGAATGACAGTTTATTAAAAATGCCCTGGAGCATTCTTAATTCCAGATTGGATTCGGCTCAGCACAACTCGGGCTAACATAATAATGTTCCAGTTTGTGGGAATGAGGAGGGGGAGGGACAATTGCATGTTTTCTCAGTTCAAGTATAATATATTTCTGCAGGATGACGAAGAGCTGGCAGCTTTCCAGCAGTCAAGGTTAGTATTGTTAGAACTGCTATCTTTAAAGGGTTGGCACTTCATTTTAGCAACAATATAGGTGATAAATACAAGAGTCTTGGATTTCCCTGACTTTTTCTGGTATCAGTAGCTATACAAAAACTCCATACCTACTTTAACTTAAAACCTAATCTTGTGTAACTATAAAGAGACCATTTATGAATTTTACATACTAAAAAAGCAAATAAACAAATCGTAGTATTTACTTATAGATTTTTCACTTTAAAGTTAAAATATTAACGATTATAGTCAATTTTTAAAAAGTTTAACAACTATTACATTCATCCAGTATAGGCTTATGTGAGCTGCATTTTGATAATAAGTCAGTCAGTGTAATAATCTATCCAGTTGTTTTCATAGGTACTTTTTTTTTTAATTTGCTCAGGAAATGCTTTTTTTGCTTTTATTCCCCCCTCCAAGTTACACACTATATAAATTTCAGTTATCTTCAGTTCGCTGAAGATTAATTTAATAAAAACAATATTTGGATTTTTTCCCCATGATTAAGCATGAGATTGCAAAAAAGGAAAAGATCATAATCCTTAAAGTTTCTCTTTGTGGCTTTCCTACAAATTTTTTCTGTCACTGGACTAAAAGGACATAGAAAACAAAT